TGCACTGTCCCTATCCATGTTCTCTTTGGTCTTCCAACCGGCCTTTTTCCAGGGATCTCTAATTCTTCCACAAACCTCAGTACTCCTCCTTTCGTCTCCCTTCTAACATGCCCAAACCATTGTAGTCTTCTAAGTAAACGATCGTAATACTGTTTATTATTTCGTCTCTCGCATTGCAGCTGGTGATAGTCCACTGCTGTAAACAACTGGCAAAAATAAAATTTCACACAGCATGAATATGAAGGAATGAGGGAATAATTATAATAATTAATAATCATAACGATTTCATTAATGTTTGTTAATAATTGTCTCTCTCGTTCGAGTTGGTGACAGTCCACTGCTGTAAACAACTGGCTATTTCACACAGCATGAATGTGAAGGAACGAGGGAATAATTATTGTAATTAATCATCTCATAACGATCGTATTAATGTTTGTTAATTGTATTGGATTGCAGCATGAATATGAAGGAATGAGGGAATAATTATCATAAGTAATCATTATAAAATCTTATGTACATATTATTATATATATGCTATATATATTTTATACTATTATATTATTAGTACATCATGTAACGATCTCATTAATAGTTGTTAATTCTCGCTCGCTCGGGTTGCAGCTTGTGAAGAGCTACGTTGTGAGCGCGCGCGACAACGCCGCCCTCAGCACGGCTGCCTGCCGTCTCATGCTCGACATCCTCCCCGGCCTCGAGGTGTCAGTCATCTTCCAGGAGACGGAGGGATTGGTCAACCGGCTCTTCCAGTGGGCGGAGTTTGCCGCCGAGCCGCTGCGTGCGTACGCGACGGGGCTGCTGGCGGCGGCGATGGAGTTGCAGGACGTGGCGACGAACTTTCGCGACCAGAACGCGCATCTGGTGAGAGCGGTCGCACGCAGACGCTCGCAGGGGGGGTTAAAGCCTGGCGCACATTGCCGAACATTTTCCCGAACAAATGTTTTTGTCTGGCAATGTGCGGGTGGACAATTGCTGAGTGCTCATTGCCGAACATTTTGCAGCGAACAATCTCATGGCGCCGTCTAGTAGCTGTGTTGAAAAGAGTCACGTGATCTGCGCATGATTGGGCACAAAAATCATGTGACCACATATCGTGCTGCTATTGGTTACTACTTTACAAATGTTCCTAAAATTGTTCGACATTCAGCGCACATTGACGAACATTCGACG